CGGGGAGGAACTTGGGTGTATCCACAGGGTCTCGATCCCCATTTTCTTGCATACCCCAAACCAAATCAGTTCTGCCTCAGAGTGACTATAGGACAGAGTAGAACTGTCCCTGTGGGTTTTAGAGACCGTAAGTCTGTACGGGACCAGACAGCCTCATCTTTCTCCCACAAGGGGCTGGTGGTTTTGAACTGCTGATCTTGCCGTTAGCAGCCCAATGTGTAATCCACCACACCACTAGGGCTCCCCTCATTTGGCGGCACCTCCCATGAACTCACCAGCAAGCCTGCCTGGTCCCAGGTGCTGAATTGATTCCTGAGTGACCCAAGTGGCCCTGTCCTCACTGGGCTGCAGGCTGGAGGACAAGGTTGACAGTCTCCAGTGATCTCACAGGTGGTCGCAGCTGCCCGAGTGGTACTGAGCCCTGGTAGCATAGTGAGTACGAATTAGGCTGCCAACTGCAAGGTCAGCAGTTAGAAACCACTAGCTGCTCTTGGGAGAAAAATGAGGCTTTATACTCCCATAGAGGTACAGCCTCAAAAACCCACAGGCCTAGTTCTACCCTGCCCTATAGGGTCGCTATGAGTCGGAATTGACTTGTTTGCAGTGAGATTTTTGAGGTAATTGAATCCTCACCCCAGTCCTGTGAGGGAAGTGCTCTTATGGCTCCCCCCCTTTACTGATGGGGGGAAAGGCCCAGAGAGGGTAAGTGCCTTGCCCCAGGTCACACTGCAGTAAAGATAAGCCAGGGGATATGAACCTAGGACCCGGCCTGCAGGTGTGCCAGGCTGAGGTCAAGTCCAAAGTAGTGGCAGGAGGGTAAGTTGGGTGGCTGGGTGGGGTGTCAGAAGTGGTCAGTGGTTACTGAGTAAGGGAGGGAGTCTTGTGGGACCCTAGACCAGCTTCTGTTTCATTCTGTGTGAAAAGGGAGACCCTGGGTGGGGCAGGTGATGGGTGCTCACTGCTGGTGGCTCAGGACCACTCAGGTGCCCTGGGAGAAAGGCCAGGTGATCTACTGGAAATCTGGGTGGAGCACCTTTCTACTCTGACCCACAGGGGGTGCTGTGAGCAGAACGCAGCGGAAGGGGCTTCTTGAATGCTGGGCACGTCTAGGGGTGGTTAAGGGAAAGCTTTGGGGGCCAGCGGGAGGATACTTCCGTGTGGACGATGGATGACCACGTTGTGGGGTGTCTGAAAGGACGTTTTGTGTGTGGCTACATTCCAGGGGGACAGCGCAGCATGCTTTGATCTGCTCTGTTGTGAGTGTGCGTATGTGTGGGTCCCGGGGAGATGAAAGGGATGAGGTGAAGGGTCTGTCTGAGTGGGGAAGTGGGCCAAGGAGGGGCGCGCTGCGCTGGGGAGTCACGTGGGGCTCATGTGATGGTAGTGGTGGTGGGGGGCTGCCAAGGGCGGGAAAACAGACGTGAGTCGCTGCCCGGTAGGATGTGTGTTGTGGGTAGCGATGGTGTGGCCCTGGCCCTGGATGGCCAGTCCCTAGGCCCAGGACTGAAAGCTGTCAGCCCCTGCTCCCAACGCGGCGCCGTGCAGGGGAGGGGCGGGGCGGGCGGGGAGGAGCCACAGGCTGTGATGCGCCC